AAAGGAAGGCAGAATAAATCACTCTTACAATTAGATAGCTCACTAAGCTTTTCCAATAGTTTCCTATAAGACATATTATCTTCATATCCTATCAGACTCCCTTGCCTGCAAGTTGTCGTTATGGAGTAGAGAGACTAATGGATTCTGTTCCTTGTGTTGCAGTCCCTGCTCAACAGTTACCCATGCAAGCACCCTGGAAAGAGCAAGCAGCACAGTCTGGATGAGTTTGGATACTCCAAAATATTCCTGCAGAAGAAAGCTTCACCCCCTCCATTGTTTTGATACAAAACTTCAGGCTGAGCTGAGAGAGTCAGTTCCAGCAGGAGTTTGATACAGCTGAACATGCATGACACAGCGATGGTAATCTTCTATCACAGCCTGATGCTCAGAGCGTTAGTCACCCGTAACAAAGCACTGAGAAATGAAGGAAGGCAGGCAAATAAAACCAGAGTGATCTACTGAACACAAGGGCTTGGAACACAAGATGGGAAAGAATTGCTCCTGTTGCAATGACAATACTTTTAATTATATATAGTCAATGAAAAATAAACTATTAGAGAGAGAATAAAATACTTGCAATTAATGGAAGTAATGTAATGTTCAAACTTAAATGAAGTATTTTTCTCTTGGGGGTTTTGCTGTACTATTTTATTTAGCTTAATGTAATTTAAATTATAAACAGAATGGTTTTGTAAGCCCCTAGAGAAACGTACTTTATTTATAATGTATTTCCTTTGAAGTGGTTGTGGAAATCATGCTCTTCCTGAAGTCTGCATTTCACATACCACCTACAGCTGCAAGCTAGTCAGCCCTCACAATTTAAATGTGACCTGTCTGGTGAAGTGCATTACAAAAAAACCTGAGATTTTTCTTAAATGCCAGAGGAAATAAAAATTTGTAATTCTGCTAACTAATAGCCTTCCTTTCAAAAAAGGTTATTGAAAGATCTTTGTTGATAAAAGTTGTTTTTTCAAGGGAATGGAACTCAGACATAGTCACTTCACTTGAGTTTTTAATGCACGTAATGAAAGAATAATTGTTTATACTATACCCTAGAGAGAGTTTCAGCTGGGAAAAATTATATTTTGTATACTTAAGTTTAAACACACAAATATTTCCATCTTTCATTTAAATAAAAAATCCTTATAAATTTAATTCTAGTACAAAGAGTAGACTTTCTTTAAGGAGGAAAATTACAAACGCTTAGTTTGTGTCACATTTATCCTCCAAGTAATTAAAGTTATTTATTTACACATAAATAAGTAGCTATGAATGAATAAATGGAACCCCATTCTATGTGCTCCCCTCACCATCAATAGCTACAGCATCGAATTGGTGAAATAACTAGACACAAAGAGGAAATTGTTTCTAGAAAATTAATTTTGGCCATTATTCATCTTTATAAAGCATAATAGTACCTTACCCTCATGGATGAGTAGCTAGCTTAACACGCCAGCACAGACACACAACAGTCTGAGCTGTGATGTTTCTCCTGAAATTACATCATTGTAAGTCACTTCAAAGGAAATAGACAATTAAACACTGCAAGTGTTTACAGCATGATTGCATGACAGCCACAGTCACAGACTGCATGTGCTTTGAAATGACCCTTCCTTTTGTCAAATCTACTCTTCTGCTCTAAACTACTACCAAAGTGGATAAATAAATAAACAAACAGAGAAATAAATTAAAATACAATTTTTCATTAGTATTGGATTAAGAGCTTGAATAATTTTTCAGGGGGTAATATATAGGAGCAAATTTTTTTTGTAATTACTCTATAAAACAGACATCAGTGCTCTGGTGTTAATTTCTGATTGAATTGGTAGATTTTATCAATATCACAAAGCAGGCAGATATTTAAATCCATTAAAATATTTACAATCAAATTTATGAACAAATATGAATTAATCTTTACTGTTGTAGTAATGAGTGATGCAGAGACCCCAGGCAGGTGCAAAAGAGTGCTCTTTATTGCCAAAAACCCGGCCTTTTGAAGCAGTTAGCAGGTTATCAGTTTACACAGTTTGAAGGCACAACAAGTCCAAGTGAGCCCACCACCATACAGCACATCTCTCACTCCTCCTATTCCAGCTGAGTCCATCTCTCTGTACTCCTATTCCAGCTGAGTCACTCTCCCATAGCCCCCTCCTACTTAGCCTAAGTAACAGGCTGGAGCCATGGATCAAGGCCTTCCCTTTATAAAGCCTTACCTATTGGCAACATTTTAAAAATTAGGTTTTTTAAAAAACCTTTCTCCATATACTACTATACAAACCTTTTAAGAATAAACATAAACACGAGAGCAACCAGTCCTGTGGCTCAGGTCAGGATGGTTTGCTGTACTGGGAGGGTGACACAATGGGACTCTCTCTTCTTCTCTTTTCTCATGGAAATGTATGTTTGTTCTCTCTTTGTGTAGCTTCTCAATCTAAAATAAAAATCACCCCAAAGAGAATTCATGTTTCCATCTTTGTTTGGAGAAGACCTGGATCAGCCTTGAACAGGCAGCAAGACTTCCTGCTGGACCTGGTTGAGTCACCTGCAGAAAGACTCCTTTGGAAATGCCCCTGGATGAGAATTGTGCAGTTTCGTGTTTGCTTCCACTTTCCCAGACCCTGCTCTTCTTAGATCAGACATTATCAATGAACTTGTATCCATGTAACTTTCATTATATTATATGAAAGTTACACCAATTGTGTTAGAAATTGCACAATTGCTCTAAATTGTTTTAGAGATCCAAGATGTACCAAAACCTTTGCAAAGATCTGCGCTCTGCTGAAAGCTACTCAAGCACAAGTACTACTTGCATTACATGACAAATGCACATCATAGTGACAATCATCCTTGCATTTGAGGCAAAATTTTAAGATTCTGGCAGCCCAGTCTAGCTAAGGTATCTGTGCTAAGCAAGATAATACTGCTCCTTTTGATGAATGCAACATGTTCAGCACAACTGATAAATTCTGTTTACTGCTCTGCACACTTGTGGGTAATAAAGATCATTACTTTATTATTTCCTTTTAGATATGATCCCTTAAGATGTAGCATGACAGTACAGTGTAAATCTAAAGCAAACCATCAGATTTATTTGCATGAGTGGCTTTGTTGCCATTAATTTATTATCAAGAAAAAACCCCAAACAACAGATATCAATCCCTGGCTTTTCTGAAAATGGATTATATGGTGCTTTAACCTTTCTTTTTTGGCTCACTGTTTACACATGGTCACATCAGAGTCTAAGTGATAAATATTACATGTCTGTACAGGAAGAGAGACGTGGACAGTAACAAAATGTACAGAAGTTAACTTTATGAGTTTAAATACTTTACTACTTTCCTTTCAGACTAAACTGAGCACAGTTCTAGTTTCTTTCAGGTATCCTGAAATTTGGCATCAATTATAAAATTTTCTGCAATGGAACAGTTGTGCCACTGACACCTAAAAAAAAGATATTCTCTCATTTTCCTCAGACTTGATACCCTCTCCAGCATAATAAATGCCTTTTGGGATTGCTTTCCTATCCATCAGTTACAACTGGGAAAGACTTTAGATAATCAAAATAGAAAATATGAATCTCCTTTTTCCATTCTGGAGATAGCAAGACATTTATGAATTATGATCACTTCAATTTAATTTTCACCACCAAACAGGAAACATATGTTTTCAGTTTTTATTAACAGAAATACTGCCATCCTAGGAAAATAAAAGAAAATAAATAAGGAATCCCAAACCACAACCTTTCGCTTTTTGCAAAATACCGAAAAACATCTAATGAAATCTGGATTGTGCTCAACAAAACATGAAATGCAGCTGTGTATGTAACAGCATGCAATATACCTTGTCATAATTTCAGGATAAAAAAAATCAGGTATAAACATTGTTACAGGATTCATTTGAGGCACCTGTTGTAAAACTGAAGCCATAAAAAATTCAGCCAGCACACTCTGAAGATGCTTCACTGAGATGACTTAAAAACCTTCTGCAGACAGAACTGAGTGAATGAAATCTCAAGATGTTCCAGAAACAATCACAATAAACTTTCAATGTCACAGTTCCAAAAGAGAATGTGAGGAGAGCTGTTTCTTATGTGCAGAGACTGTGCCAGCATGTGTAAATACAGGCCATCTAAACCACTCTACACACCCAAGTTTACAGCTAATTCCATAAAATTAGAAATGCAAACCAGGGTAGAGCTTTTACAGTGTAAGGAATGCAAAAGAAACACCGATTATAATGTAGACATAAACCCTGCAGCTTACCAATTCATGTGAATCATCTTAAGTGCCACTGCAACTGAGACATAAAACAGCATAGCATACAAGGGACAAAGCACTCAAGAGACAATAAATGCAGGCAATTTAATCAGAACAATTTAGTCCTTTGCCTAGGTCTGCTAGCTCAGAGGGAGGTGACTTGTTGAAACTAAATGCAACTAGCATATCAAAACAAAAAGGAAAAATACACTTTTCAAGAAATGGAATATAAATCATTGGATTCACAGCTCTTCTATAGCAAACTGAATTATTCATGCAGGTAAACCTGTTCAGCCTAGCTCTTACCTGGTTAGCTCTTATTCTGGTAGCTGTGTGGCTGTAGTAACAAGAAGCTCAAGGTTTACTATCTGCTCCAGAACTCATTCAATTTCTCTGCTGGGTTTTGTGCCTAAGCTGAAATTTTCACCACTGCAGCTGCTACTGGAGTTACCCCACAGGAATGATGGGTATCACCTGTTGCCAGCACCTGCAAGTACTTAAAACAGATGTAGCAAGAATACCAAACACATTGTGACATATGGCACAGTCTATTTTTGTGCTTCTGTTGACAATAAAACTCATCAAAAAGTTTCAGGGTCTTAACGATATTAGAGTCCATAAATTCCAAAAGATCCTGATTCCACAATGTGAGCACTGTTGCCAAAACCCAGATGTTTTCCAATATGCTGAATACTTTTACAGATGTAGTGTGGATATAAATAGGGTTTATTGAATTTTACCTACATGGTCCAGTGAGGATCATCAGAGCAGATAGTTGGATCAGACACTGTAATTCTGTGAACTCCTCTTTTGGAAACAAAACTGGTACTGTGTCAGCATGTAGGCTGTGAACAAAGAACAAAGCAAAAGATGGAACAATTATTAAAGTAGATTTTAAAAACATGAGGAAAGCACAGTCATATAAGCTAAAAGGCCTAATTTGGAGCAAGTCAATTTTTTTTAAATATTTTTTATTGCCAAATAATACTGGTTTGGTTTTTTTTTTTTTTTCCTTTTTTTTTTTTTTTTTTTCCCAATCTGAGAGGCCTAGTTGGAAACAGAGCAACTCAAGCACAAATTTATCACACAAAAATCTGGAGCAATGGTAATAACATGGTACTGACAGGCCTTTGTGCTGCTCACTCCTATCTCCAATGGGCTATGCATGATCACAATATTTTCAGATTATTTTTTTTTTTTCAAACCTGGTAACCAAACTGGAGTGAAGATAACAGTTTCTCCAATATAATACAGTCAGAATCATAGACTACAAGGTTGGAGCTTTCTTGGCAAAAGCACAATCTTGACAAGATAACACAGCAAACTGTCCAGCTGAATTTTAAAAGTCATCAGTGCTGGGGGATCCACCACTTTCCTGGGGATCTTATTATTTTAAGGCTGCAGCTGCATCAGCAAGCAAACTTGTGTAGCTTGTGTCTGAAAATGGACACCTCCAGCACAGAGGAATGATGAGCCCATTCAGACCAAGGAGCAGGTCAACCCAAAGGTAGCATGAAGAACTGGGGTCTCCTTTTCTTCCCCAAATTATGCAGTCTTTCAAGCTAACCACTTTAGAAAATTGGTCAGGAACGCCATTTTTCATGTAAAAAATGCAACAGAGGAAGCAAAAATACTAATAATTAAAACCTAAACAAAACATTTTCCTCTGCAGAAGTTGTAAATTTCTGAATTCAGAAGCATAGGAGAAAGATTGACAGACTGCCATGTTCCATTTCATTACATATAATTAGGGCCAAGTAGAACCACATGCCATTATTATCCCATTTAGTGCCTGCCATTGCAGCCTAAGGCTTCCAGACCCCTCTGAATACCTTAAAAATAAAAGAGTGAATCTAATCAAGATGTTTCACCGTTTTTCTTAGTGTCTAAGCCTTTACCAGAAGGCCAGGTGTCATAAAAAGGAGGTCACAGACCAAAGAGTGAAAATACTTGCGATGCTGCATTTTCAGTTACTCAGGAAAAAACCCAAAAACACCACCAAAACTCAACAGCAACAATTAGGGTGAGGTTACTAACAAAGCCGAGGCTATATTGCAGTTAATTTTCAGAAGGGAAAAAAAATACACATTTACTACCCTTGTACATTGCTGCAGGTAACACTTGTAACACACTTGTAACCCAGCACTTGTAACACAGCTCTGCCTTTAATGACGAAGATCTCCCCCTCCTCTGGTAAAACACTCTCCTGGAAGAATGCTGTTCCCTCCACTAATGTTGTACTGTCAAGAAGTGCAATGAGTTGGAGTGGAAGCCAATATGAACACCCCCTTAAACCAAATGAACACAAGAGGGGCTGTATTTGAAAGAAGGAACAGAAAGGAAACAAATCAGATTAAATACGTCCAGAACTTGTATCATCTGTCTTACAAGGAGTGCAAAGCAATTCTTAGCTGGACATGTCAGTGTGGCAACCCTTTCATAAGAGAAGGCTTTGAGAAGGACCCTTACAGTCCAGGATCTATCAGATGAGAGACTATCACTCCAAATCCACTTCCTGAAACATTTCTTTCCCTAGGCACTTCTTGGCTTCGCCATTGCAGCACTAAAATGCTCTGTTCCCACCACTGCTCCCAGGCTGAGCACGCACAGGGAGTGCAGCACAAGGAAACGTTTCTGCACCAAGGGTTACAGGGCAAAGAAGGCAAAGCTCCCAGAGAGAGCCAAAGAGCAGCCAGGGAGATCATGTGCATCATCAACCCCCTCCCACCTGAAAGGGTTTTCACTCTGTAAAGCTCTGAAAGGATCTCATGGAGCCTTTGGTGCTAGAGCTCAATCTTTTGACTTGGGAAGGACGGTTCCAGACTTCTCAAGACAGCAGTTCTGATTTTAGTACTTCATTCCAGGAATGCAGCAGTAATAATTCACTCACATAGTAAAACTCCAATTTGCACAGCATGTACCAAATTTTGTTTAATTGAGGTCCCTAGAGGTCCTTAGTGGAATGTTTACAGTGTCAACAATGTGAAACAACAATGTGAATTGCTCTTAAAAAAATTGAATGTTTAAAAATTAATTGATCCATTTTTTTAAATTCAGAAAATACAAAGGTTGAAAAAGACTTCTCATTTACACTATCAATGCAGAAAAATAATTTTAAAAACTGCTGCAAGATGAAAGTTTTAAATAACTTGCAAACTTTTAAGACTGCAAAACAACTGAAAAAAGAAGTCTTTTTTTTTGGTTTGTTGAGCCTCCTTTTAGTTGAGGAAATTAAGTTTCTGGCAATTAAAATTTGAATTTTGATAATTCCCCTCTCATCAATTCATTATGCTATTAGTTAGCAAAAAAACTAATTTATTATTAAGTTAGCTTCTCAAGCTATTTTCAGTTTTTTAAAAAAAATCTTCCCAATAATTTTCTACTATATTTTAGTTTTATGCCATTACTACCAAGATTCCATTTTTACCCTCCGAATAATGCAGGTTGTGACTCAGAGCTTTGGAATTCATTGCCTTAATTTACAATAAACTAAGTGTCCTCAAATAAGCTTTTGCTGTTTGTATATTCAGCTACAAAGCTAATACCCTCTTCTCTTTATGAACAGTGATCAAGGCCTGTTGACAATCCAGCTTGTGCAGAACATCAAGCTCCAGTTAAGCAATCCTGCCAACAAACCCCCCCAAAAGCCCCATGCCAGCTATTAGCATGAAGCTTGGACTTATTTAAGCCATCATCAGCCACCTCTAACCTCATTTACTATGTCTGTGCTAGAAAATTTAATTTGAGGGGTGCTTCTAGGCATTGACACCCAAACTCTGCCGTAAACTGTGAGCAGGGTTTTAGCTTGAGTGGGGTCTGGGAGGCAGCACTGCCAAGGAATTTGAGTTAAGCTCTGCATACATGGGCACACTATGAAGAGGAGAGGACTGAAATTCGTGGCACCACCAATACAGCTGGGATTTCAATACCAAAAAAAACCCACAAAATGTGGTGAGGAAAGGCAGGAACCTGGTGTTCCAGGTACAGAACAGAAAAACGCATTTTATGATTTGTACAATTCCTATATTCATGAGAAGCCATACTTAAAACAAGATGAGACTCTGTGTGCTGCCTTTAGCTTTTTATGTATCTTTGATAAAATTTCCCTTGAGACTAGAATGTCAGAAAGGTCTCTAAAAAAGAGAAGTGCTTTTGTTGAAAGCAAAACTAAGGATACTTAAGAAATTAAGTTTCTACCCTGTTTACATGAGAAGACAAATTTGCATGCATTGACTCTGCACTGAGAAAATTAGTTCCTGTGTTTCACCAAGTAAGTTCCTCTCTATGAAAAATAAAATTCACAGACTGGGAAAACTTTATACATAATAAGGTAAGTATTTCACTTGAGTGTGTGTCAAGAGAGATAAAAGTGGTCTCATGTGTTGCAATCTTTTGAATGAATTATATTCAATTTTTGCGTTGTTTTGAGGACAAGAAAAGGTCTCAAAAACTTGAGCTAGTTACATATTTTAATTTTCTTGCTGAAATAACATATTTAAAATCAACACTTTTACACATCACATTTTTTTCAACCTCAAAAATGCCTACAGAGGTACCTTAATAGATAAAAAACATTTTAATAGTTGAATGAATATGAATAATAATAATGAATATGATCCTAATGCCAAAAAAAAAAAAAGTCAGAAAAAAGGCAGTTTCTATTTCCAGTGGACTTTAAGGAGCAGGAAACATTTTGATTCTTGAGCTTCAGACACGAAAAAGTCTGCAAGATGGAAGAAGCATCTCTGCCTTGTGCTTCTTTCAGTGGATCTCATTAGACAGAGGTTAGGTTCATTCTGGACCAAGACAATATCAAAGATGGATGGTAGAAGATTTCAACTGCAGTATTTGTACACTTGAAAAGTGCCTCCCCAGTAATATGACAGAAAAATGTGCAACATGTAGGTCATAACAGAATTTCTTTGCAGGGACAAATACGATATCACAAATTCATCCAACTTGTTCTACTTTTATTTATTCAGGATGGCTAAACCCAATAATTTAATGCTCCCTTCATTCAGTTTAACAGATGTAAAAACTAATGATTAACAACATGACTTAGTACAATGCTCTTGATGAAGACATGTCAATTCACAGTACTGTCTTAGCCAACTCTTTCAGTTGCTGAAGAACTAGAAGCCTTTATCTTAGTTTGAAGTTCTGAGGAGTACGGTAAAATGAAATCCAAACATTTCAGATATTATTTTAGTTTGGTAATCTCATAGCTCAAAAATTGTTCAATCTAGACATATGACATTTGTTTCACTCTAGAATAGTGGCTTCAGTGTTTATTGACAAAGCTGAGTGCCTGTTACAGAAATACTCAGGACTGCTCAGCATAAAGGTGTTTGACTCAGTTGAGTTCACAAACAAAGCATCTCAGAAGTGCACTAGCATCTGAATAATCAGTAGAACAAGCAGCTAGGAAAGAGAAAAACATCAGGAAAAACCACTAGAAGAATACTTCAATCTAATTGCTCTATTACTTATGTTTTCTATGAAGCTGGCATATAACCCCAAAAGCTTTTTAAAATTTGCAAAGTGATTAGACTCTCTTTTAGACTGTTGTTCTTTCAGGTGCTTACTGATACCTGACTACTAGTGTCTCTGACAAATATTATTATTTTGCACTGAAATCTTTTAAATGTCTTGAATAATTTTATATGACACTAGGAGATAATAATGGTTAAACAGACCAAAACAGGAAGCTCACTTTTTAGTATACAGTTATCAGAATTAATAATTTAGTAACTGGTTCCACTTTAGATATCTTTACAGTTACAAGCATCTACCCCTGAGCTGTATAGGCTGCAGAGTCAACACAAGAAAACCTACAACACCAAAGAACCATTCAACAGA